GCCAGAGACGAATCAGGGATGGTATGGGAATGGGAGCCCTCTGCCTTCTCTAAATGCACTGCAGCACCTCTGACTCATCTTCACACCTCACGGGGGGGAGAGGGGACAATGCCCCATGACTGGCCCGCACTGGCTGCTCTGAGGCTTGGATCTCAACATTGCCCACCTGTCTACTCAGTGCACCTGACTCGGCCGTGGCTGCTCTCAGAGCCTTTGACTCCACGTGTGGACAGATAGGCTTTCTGATCACCAGCCCCTAAACGATCCCCCATCTCCAGATGGTGCTGCCTTCATAAGAGACTCAATTTCATGCCAAAGTCCAGCATCAGCGACCCTCGGGTCTCCGTGCCCCTCAGGCACCCTCCTAAGGAGCTGCCGTGGTTCCCCAGGCATCTCCCAGGCACCCCACAATAATGCCTGTGACCTTGGTGAACTGAACTTTTCATCAGCCCGTTTCCACGCCCACCACCATCTTAAAGACCAGCCAGAGAAGGAGGCACGTGAACAGCAGAACTGTGCCCAGGAGAGCTTTTATTTGTACGGAACAGTTTTAAAAATACAGAATAAAATAGCTTTATCTCTACTATTATTCACAACGTCTGGTCCAAATATTACATATTTTTAAAATACTTAAACGTTTAATGAAGCCATGTTAGAAAAACAATATGAAAGTTCTTTTTAAAAACTCCATAAAAGAATTACACATCTCAAAAACAACCCCACCCTAAATACCCTCGGTATGCAAAATAAAATAAAAAACTGAACAAAATCCCAAAGAGGTACATAGCCAAAGTCAGCCACAAAAACTCAAGGAAAATCTAGGCATCCCCACTGCGTTAGGAACAGTCAGAAATTTATTAGCGTATCACACGAAGGTTGTTACACACGAACGGAGGAGGGCATGAATTTGAACTGTCAGTAACATGACCAGGCTGGTGAGGGTGTCCTAAATACCAGGAAACTCACACACACGATTCTAAGGACGCTGGGAGTTACTGATGCAGAGGGATGACGAGGCACAGTCAAGAACAACCGAGAAGAACAGGAATGTGGGGGAGGCTGCTGAAAAGGACGTGCCTTCTGGGTCCACGGGCGGAAACGTTGGCAAACGCAAGGTCTTCTCGCACTGCCGGGCGGTGACTGCAGGTCGGGCAGCGGGGGGAGGCGTCCTGTTCTCCGTGTTCAGGTCGGAAGCGGACAGAGTACAGCACAGGCAGCAGGTGAGAATCCAGGCTCTTCTCCAAAGCTGAGGGGCGGCCCATGCTCAGGCTCGTCCGCCCCACCACGGGGTCCAGGAGGCATGGCTGGGTGCACACCAGGCATCCAGGGGCAGCCACGCCAGGCCCGGTGCCTGCGGCCAAGGGCACACCCGGAGCACGGTGGCCCGCAGGACGCTGCCTCTCCTCGCGATGGACAGGTTCTGGAACGTGGTTCCCGCCACAGCTCCCTTTTCACCTTCTCTCTGGCCTGGCCTCTCTTAGCGGCATCAACATTAAGGAAGATTACAGTCGCCAACTTCAAGTCTAGGTGGCTAGTACCAGTATTTCAGCAGGGACGTGAATTAAGGTAATAACAGCTTAGCTGACGGGTCATAAAATATATACGCATGGGCAAATAAAGTATACACACATACTAGAGATTCATCAATGGAGAAATTCTATCATCACATGACATTGTCATGAAAATTATATCATTCCCTCCCTGGAAAACGGTAACTATTATCCTGGGCAGAAATGTTAATTTTACTAATATGGAAATACTGCAATACTCATGCATAAACCACGTTGTCGTCATGGAAGTCAGTGTTCTACAGTATCAAGCAAATCCTGTGTGTGAATCTGTTACCGTGAAAACGGGAAACCATCAGGACCCACGATGCTTCACCGCGGCTGACCTGGCTGGGCCACTTCCCTTGCTTGGATCAATCACAACGAACTCACTAAAAGTTAACATCTGACGCCCTCTTGAGAAAGATTTGATACTAAGGAGCCTGCGTTTAATTCCCTAGTGAGAATGATAATGAAAATTGCTTACAAAGACTGGAGCTATTTTCCAATTACTCTGTGAACCATGTTAGGTGTTTTAGCAAAACCGGTGGTGGGGCCCATGACCCACCCCCCCTGGAATACGGCAGCATCTACTGTCCTTATAAATACTTTCCACTGCTCTTCTATAGCAAAATGGTTCACATACGTGTGGAGATGGTGGGTAGGTGGTCACTGTGGAAACTGGAAGTGAACGCCATGCTCAAGGACACTTACATGAGTGGGTTCACAGGGACAGATCATGCCTGGCCACCGTGTCCCTCCAAAGCTCCCTACAGGAGGTGTCTTCAAACCCAGGCAGCAGAGGAACACGCCTTTCTCCATTAAACTCATTCTGTCCCACATCTACTCGCAGAAGGATCACTTCTTAAAATGGTTGTTGCGTGCTGCTTGTGTAGTAAGACTTATGCGTCATCCTGAGGCTCGGCTCCCTCCCTTGGCCAATGGAACAGAAGAGCAAAACCCCTCTTTGCAAAAGACGGTGTGGGTGCAGGGCTTCCCTGCTCACAGGAAGGCTTGCAGACATCCTTGCACATAGGAATGCTTGCAGGTTTGAAATGGACCCAAGGAGGGGTTTCAAAAAGGAGTGGGTTTCTGGAACAAGCCCGCTCAAGTTTATGTTGAAAGGAACTTGTTTGTTTCTGAATTACTGAAGGCCCAGTTGCTTTTATTTGGGTATTAGGTTCTTCTGCTCACCTACAGAGCTAGAATACTGCAAATCTTTGGAAGGTGTAACATTTTCCCCATTTTTCAAAGCTGAGAAATTTAGATGCTGAGCAGAAATACAAATAGAAGGAACAGAGAGCAACTCAGCGTCAGAGGACTGTCAGCCTGGAGGGCATACCAAGTACAAGGGATGGAAATGGTTAAGGGATGTGCTTCAAAATAAACTAGGCATCAGATACACGCCAAAGAAAAGTAACATACAAAATTAAATGTAATTGATAGTCTAAGTTCTTTACTTAATTTGCAATAAAGTCTTGGCAAAACAATGAAGTGGCTCCAAAGAGAGTTCTTGCTAGAACAAGCCTTGAAGCCCCCAACTTCCCAGGAGTCAAGGAGGTGACACAGAGGCAGCCAGGGGACAGGACGTGCACGAGATGGACACAACAGTGCTGAGACCCAGGCCCATGGTCCGCTGCTGGAGACAGCACCGCCCACTGCATTCAAGCCTCGGCCAGGTCAACGAATGCTTAGGAAGAGAAGCATGACCTCATGAAGTGAGCTCGCTGCGTTATATCTCAGAATTTTCTGGCTGAAAAACCTCAAACCAAATCCAAGAAGTTTTTTTCGCTTCCCCCCCCAAAAAGGAATTTAGTGTTATTTAATTAGAACTCAGCAGAGGGGACCTGCATGCTGCCTTCCTCACCACCACCTTCTGCAGGAACGTAAACAAGAACGGCAGCGTTTGTCCAGGGGTCTGACCGTCCCCCCTGCCAAATCAAAACCCAGGGGACACGCCACATGGCAACCCACGGAACGTCCCCTTACATCTTGACTGCAAGAAACAATTCGCAACAGAAATGCAGCGATGGGTGTACGGCACACCCACCAGCCACATGGCAGCTGTTTGGTGCCTGCCCAGGCTTCTCTTCTTCACGTATAAGGTAAGCCGCGGGTTCTGGGCTCTGATCCAGTAGTTAGTTTTGATAAATAGGTTAGGCATTACAGTATTTACACTTTCATGGTATCAAGCAATACAACCACAGAATGGCTACTGGCCTGCAAAAGCCATGACAACAGCTTCCCTGATGGCGTCCACAGCTTTACAAATGCTGGTTCTTCCTTTAAAGGGAGGAGTGGGAAGGGCACAGGAATGGGGAGGCAAAGTAACAGAGTCACGTGGAAAAAAACACTGATTTCAAAAATCTGCTATAGTCAGTAATATTAAATAGGAATAAAGTCTTGTATTTATAGACACATATGACAGTAACTGACATCCACATGACAGCAGAGCCAAGACACCCATAAACGTCTGGCTGGTGCCCCCGTGTGGCACTCCACTCCCATTGCACCACCAGGGGTGAGAAGCGCCAGACGGAGCGTCTCAGCTCCTAGTGGAGACAGAGAGGCCAGTGTGAAACGTGCTGGCCCAGCCGGGGCCAGGGTGGCCCCACGATAGAGCAGCTGAGAATCAGATACTGATTTCCTTCCTTCCCTCTCAGGCCCCCAAAGCACACTTCCATGCTAATACTGTGTGTACAGACCTTACCCAAGCGATGGGACACAGGTCTGTACAGCAACACGCTGCTGTTTCCCACAGGAGGAGCAGGGAACGTGGAATCACATTTGACCAGCTGTGACGAGTGCGAGGATACTGGTGCCCTTTCACCACAGGAGGGCGCTGTGGTTCAGGCGGGGGTCAAATAAAAACAGACCAACCAACCAACCAACAAACCAAGCAGGTCCAGGTGCTTCCAGGACAGGAAGCCCCTAGACGAGGGGTGGGAACCTTCCTTCTGCCAAGGGCCATTTGGATATTTGTAACATCGTTCACTTAGTAAAAATGTATGTTGCTATGAAAAAAGCTGCTAGATTTATTGCGAGGTTGTCTTGGCAGGCCGGACGCTCCCCACCCCTGCCCTGGAGGTGGCCAGTAAAAAAGCGAGCAATGGGTGGTGGAAGCGGGGCTGAGAACAAGGAACTGCTGTGGAATTTCAAACATCTGCTCCCCCCCGAGGAGGACAGGAATTTCAAGTTCAGTGACCACAGCCAGCAGTGGACATTCTCAAGGGTAAGGGGTTGGGGCTTAAATAAGGAGAGAGGTGAGACACTATATTAGACACGATCACCACTCACAACAACAACAACAAAAAAAAGCTACTTGCAATCTGTCTTAGCTCTGGGATACAGAATATAAATGCAGATACACAAACATATATGTTACCGCTTGTTACTCGGCGAGAAACTTACAGATCATGCCTCACTGCGGCCAGGCCACAGGGCAAGCTACGGCTATACCGTGGCCTGCAAGTCCTTGTCGGGACTCCGGCTGCCGGCGCTCTTCCCGAGGCCTTTCCACGTGTAGCCCACAAAGGTGGGGCTGATGGGTAAGTAGCTGAAGCATTTGTATTTTTTAATAACGTTCATGCCGAATGGCAGATCATAGGACTCCATGCCATCAAGCGACTTGCTCCCTTTGCCCACGCCCTTCTTCCATTTCCGAATGCCTCTTTCCTCCGGGGTACCTATGGGACACACACATCACACAAAGCAGTGGAGTGATTAGGTTAGCAGTTCTCCAGGAACGGAGAATCCGACATGCCGTCCCACAGATGGAACCTGCAGGATGACAGCAAAGCACCCCTGATGGCACTCGGCTATCAGAGGGCCGAAACTAGAAATTTAAGAGTCGCTGATCCATCCTGTTCCTTGTGCTCCGTGTTCAAATGACCTTCCGAGGCCCTTACCTCAGCCCTGTCCTTCCACGTGCTGCATATTCTTACTGCTATTTTTACTGTGGGAGTCTGGCCCAGGCCGTGTCATTGCTTCCCAGGGTCATTTTGTCAGTCTAACTGGCTGTCCAGTCTTGAGAGTCCCCACCTCCTCCCCCAAATCTGTTCTCAAACACTGCAAAAAACGACAAAAAGCTCTCTCTAAAATGCAAATCTGAGCTTGCAAAATGGGACCCCGAGTACTTGCTATACACAATGCCTTCATCAATTGGTCGTGGCAAAGCCACCAATCCTGGCATTCTGCGTTTTGTACTGCTTCCCCCTATTTTAGCGTGTGTGTGTGTGTGTGTGTGTGTGTGTGAGTGCTGCACTCAGCTAGCCCCACTTGTCTGCTCCTGTGAGGATGCACTTCCACTGGTTAACAGTCTGGGCCACTCTGGGCTCTGACAGATGAGCCTGGCGCGAGAAGCACGGCTGCCTGCCCTCGGCTACAACAGGCCACGCAACAACATGCCGCTGTGCCCGAGCCCGGAGCAGGAGCTCGAGTCTGTGGTGCAATATTTAGGGTCCTCATTATTTCCCTACATTTACCTATGTCTCCACCCCGTGGGTGTTTCAGTAACAAAACTGACTTTAACTTCCATCTGTCTCATATGTCTCTCCCTCGATTAGTTCTGACTTAGGACAGAAAAGAGGGTGTTAGTTACTGACCCTCATAAATCTAACACCTTCCACCTATTCACGTATATGTTCATCCCGGTTCCCGCAGCATCCTCTTGACTGAGGCTTTCTGAGGGGGGTGGGGTGGGGGGAGATATCTCAACAAGACCTTAAAGCTCAAAAACAAACATTCCCCTCCCTTGATGGCAGGTAAATCTACAGGTGTGTCTGTGGCATTTACAGCAGTACAGAGCAGCCTCTGTAGGAAGCTTGGAAGGCCACAAGGTCACACCCAATACTTGGCATCTCCCCGCTGAGAAACAAGGGTTTTGGGTGTTAGAGAAATGCTGCCTCCCAACCTGTGCCACTCGCTGATCCTGGCAGCAGCCTGTGCCCACTGTACTTGTGGCATTTGGTCTTAGTTGGCTGGCACCTGCCTTAGGAAGGACTTGGACTCATTTAAAGGGCAGGCTCCCCAAGCAGGAGAAGTGCCAGAGGCTATTGCCAATGAAATCAAACTGCAGGGCCCTGGGCAAGGCTGTGCAGGGGGGCAGGCGGGCTAGAGTGTGCCCAGAACAGCCCACTGCCACTTCACCCCATGCAGGGAATCTCGCTAAAAAGTAGCTCAGGCCGAAACTGGTTTGGCTCAATGGATAGAGCATAGGCCTATGGTCTGAAAGGTCCCAGGAGCGATTCCAGTCAAGGGCATGTACCTTAGTTGCGGGCACATTCCCAGTAGGGGGTGTGCAAGAGGCAGCTGATCAATTATTCTCTCTCATTGATGCTTCTAACTCTCTATCCCTCTCTCTTCCTCTCTGTAAAAAAATCAACAAACTATATTAAAAAAAAAAAAAAAGTAGCTCAGCAAGGAGGAAAACAGCTCAGTAAGTTTATTAGCAAAAAAACGATTTCATAAAAGAAGGCTGGAAGTGTCATCTTAACCACTAAGGAAAGACAGTTTTGACCAGTGATGGCTTTGAACTGACTTCCTCTGCCTGCTTCCTATATTTATTTGGCAAAAAGTAACTCACATAAGTAATAAGCACGTTTGACATGTACCACATACCTGGGATGGTGTTATCCAAAATGAAAGCCACACAGCCTCCTACAAACATGGCCGTCGTGAGGAGAACGTTCAGCACTTGGTCAATGCCTGATATCCCTAGAACAGAACACAGCGGGGTCACTGTCAGCCAGGAGGCGCCTGCCCTGGCCTAGAAAGGCGTGCTGGGTGGGCACTGGCCACCAGTCCACGCAGTGTACATCCCTCTCGCTCGTGTGCAGGAATGTTTTAAACTACTCCGAATACCTTCCATAATAAGCAGAGGAAAAGCCTTAACCTGATACAGTGAAGTCACCCTAGAATGAAATGTGAAGACCAATGAAACCATTGGGGGATGTTGTTTACAGATTTAAAAAAAGAAATCAATATAAAGAAGGTTGTGGAAGGCTGAAAAAGAAAACAATCCTGAAGTTCCTACGTCCTCTCTGACCGGTGATGAGCTGTTTGTAAATTGGCGGCTCTGGTTCCAACCACCACTCCCACCCCCCTCAACCCCACCAGCCCACTCCCCGGCCCCCTGCCACAAGATTCAAGCCCTGTTTTTCCTACCTGTGACAAGAGGGTTCTGTCTGAGGTAACTTGGAAGGACAAGTCCAAAGAAGATGGAAAATCCAAGCACAAAGAGGTTCCGGGAAGAGTTTAAATCAATGAACTGCAGGTTAGAGAGTCCAACGGCTGTGATCATTCCTGGAAAGAAAATATCAGACAACAAGTTCCAGTCACTCCCACAGAATGGGAGCTTACACTACATAAGCATTGGGGCACAGATGACTGACAGCTGCTAAGGGCAAGATTCAATGTCCTTCCTCTACAATGTCCTCCCTCTGTCCCATCAGAAACAGGTCAGAAGACCAGGAAAGGACAGGACGGGGATGTGACTAGCTGGCTGCTCGGCTCATGCAGAGGCACAAGCATCACTGTTCTCAGGCTGGAAGGCTTGCTTTAGACTGAGCAGGAACTAAGGACACGGGTTCCCCCTTGGCACCTCCATGCAAACATTCCTATTAAATTGGGAAACCCAACCAAAGCTGGCCCCTGACTACATCAACTAAATGGCACACAGACCCACTGTAAAAACGGTCTGTTTTAAACAGTCCACTCAGAGGGTAAGATAGGTTGAGTTAAATCACCAATTAAATACCAATTAAAGAGATTATGTCATACTATTTTTCCTTGACTAAATAGTCTACCTTTGGTTGTACCTTCAACATAAATTCAACTCCAAGAGTGATACAGGTTTTTATGTTTTCTATGTCTATCCTTTTGTATTATAAAATAGAAATGCATTGCTACCTCCAATCTTACTGAAGAGATTTAGCAAAAAAACCATAATCTCTGTGAAAAATTAGCAAATACCAAGAAAAAGAGGCTCAGAGGGGCAGCCCACCATCGAGGAAATGGACTTTTACCAAAGAGCGTGCAGAAGAGGGCACCGAGCACAGGGTCCGGGAGGGAGGCGAAGAGGGCGCTGAACTTGCCGATCATGCCCAAGGCCAGCATGAAGGCGGCCCCATACTGGATCACCCGGCGGCTGCCAACCTGCGGGCAGAGGCAGGAGTTCAGTTCACGAATCCCCAGCCCCTTGGGGCAAATGTGACAAAACTCTTATTCAAAATCTAGATTATTGTAAAAACATTGAGTTAAGAGGGATCTGTCTCATTTCATAGAGGATTGAGACCAATGTACAGTTACTATAAAGCACCCAGAGTAAGAAGGTTCCCACCCCCTTTCCTTGTCCCATGGGCCCCTTCTCCTCCCGTGTCTCTGGGAGGGGCCGGGCAGGGCATAGTTTTGCTTCTCTGAGCCATGGAGGCTGTCACCTTGGTGTGGACCTGCTCCTGCACTCAGGTCCTGCATTTCTAAAGCCCGCAGTCACTGGCAGGGACTAACTTTTATCAAATGCAAAAACGTAAAAGCTACCGTCTGCTTCTGCATGTCCTTTGGGTTTCTAGTATCACCCTTCACTCAGCAAGTTAACCCACTCAAAGCCTCAACAGCCCCATCTTCCCCATACCCTGAATCAGACAAAACCCCAAGTATTTCTGGAACCTCCTCATGGCGTCTTTCCTATTCGAGTGACACAGCCTACAGCAGCGGTCGCCAATCTTTCGGACCTAACCAGTGGTCCATTGCCCCCACCGCACACCCCACAGGTGCAGAACGCTGGCCTAGAGGACAAGGTGACCACAGACCCAGAGGACAAGGTGCAGGATTCTCGGGGCCCGCTGCCTGTCTGGCATCTTCACTCCACCTCCATCCATGTGACCCGGGCAAGCTACGCTTCCTCGCTGGGTGTCAGGACGCTCATCTCTGTAACTAAACCTGTGGTTTTTGCTTTAAGGGTTAAATGGGATGATGTATAAAATAATTTGAACAGCACCTTTCAAGGGACCTTTCAAACACACTGGGAAGTCAGTGCTCTGCACAAGTCCTCTGGTGCTCGTGAATTAAAGCACAAGTCTCAGGCTCTTGCACACGGGCAAGCTCCCTGATCCCCTTCCCTCTCCCAGGCCCCACCCCGTCATCTTGAGGGCTTACTGCCTGCCCCTCAGTGTACCAGGCCAACCCTGGCCTGTCTGCCTAGAATACCCTTTCCTCCAGCCCCTTCTGGTGGTTCCCAGACACATCCTTCAAAATGCTACCCAATGTGACCTCCTCCGCAAAGCCTTCCTCCATTCCAAGGCTTGGTCCCCCCATCCTACTACCCCCCCCCACCGATGCATCCTGGACTTTTGCAGTACCACTTATCATTTCAATGTGGTCTCATCGTTATCTGTTACATTTCATCTCGGCTTTCTAGAAGCTACCATCTAGCCCACTGCATCCAGGTAGCGGAGGGGGGGGGCTGGCACTGGGTTCAAGAACCCTGTGTTTTGGCTCCTACTGAGTGCTGCCTCTCCCAGGAAGACACCCTGATACACAGGAGGTTCCAGAATGTTTAGGGGAATGTTCGCTGGCTTTAAGTATGACTTCGGTGAGAAAATGGCTGCTTACACTTAGGTTAGTTATGTGAAATGAAACTTAAGATCCAGTTCCTCATTGTACTATCCCATTTCAAATGCTCCCACGCTCCTGTGCCTGGTGGCAGATGCCCCCAGCGCACAGGTGCAAAACGCTGTCCCCACTGCTCAGTGTCCTGCTGGGTGGTGCTGGGTCAGAGTGTCTAATAGCCTCTCTAGGGACCCAAGAATCAGCTTAGAGTCAGAGAGAACTCTTATGGTGCAGATTGCTGTCCAATCACGGCTAAGACTGGAGCAGAGCCTCGACTGTTTCAATCCACGGCTCCTCCCACAAAGCACCAAATGCAGGGAAGCAGTGAAAAGGGTCAGGAAAAATGACCTGTGCTTGGCTGTATTACATGATAAGGAACACTTTCACTTAAAAATGGCTCATTTTTCAGCAAACATTTTAGGGACCTACTATGTGACTGGCACTAGTTAGACTGGGGGGTGAGGAGCAGATACAAAGATGAGTAAGTCACCAGCTTATGATGAAAGTCTAGTACTGTTGCAGTTACTCTGTGTGGGAACCCAGTGGGGAAAAACTGAAGAATCAGAAAGGGATCCCCAGAGATGGTCTTGAGGGATGAATTTATTGGAGGAAGAACAACCAGGTAGAAGAAACAATCTGTGCCAAGACCACCTCCCAGCAGGGTCAGGCAGCCTTGCAGGTGTGCAAGGAGAGGGACAGGCCGGCCTCTGGGATGCCTGAAACAATAAATCCTACATGGAAACCATGCATGCAAGGATGATCTGCCTTAGGTGCTGACAAAAAAACAAACCATCACAACAAAAATACAAAGCAGCAATGGAGCCATTCTTGTGTTTAATAAATATGAACTTAGTGCCTATTATATACTAGAGACCTGGTGCACAAAATTCGTGCATGGTCGAAACCGGTTTGGCTCAGTGGTAGAGTGTCAGTCTGCAGACTGAAAGGTCCCAGGTTCAATTCCGGTCAGGGGCATGTACATTGGTTGCGGACACATCCCCAGTAGGAGGTGTGTAAGAGGCAACTGATTGATGTTTCTCTCTCATCGACGTTTCTAGCTCTCTATCTCTCTCCTTTCCTCTCTGTAAAAAAAAATCAATAAAATATACATATTTTTTAAAAAATTCGTGCATGAAGGGATGTCCCTCAGCCTGGCCTGCACCCTCTCCAATCCAGGACCCTTTGGGGGATGTTCAAATGTCACCATCCCCAGCTTCCCTGAGCCTTGGGCTGGCCCTGGGCAGCAACAGCCATCATCTGAGGTTTGCCTGAGCCTTAGGCAGCCGCTGCGGCTTTGTCCGGAAGGACATCTGGGTGGTCGTCTGGAATATGTCCAGTTTAATTAGCATACTACCCTTTTATTAATATAGATGCTTCAAACACAGCTCTAAAATCCCTGCCTCACCCTGGCCAGAACTGGCTCAGTTGGCTGGGCTTTGTTCTGTACACAGAAAGGTTGCCAGTTGCCGGTTGATTTCTTGTCAGGACATATGCCTAGGTTGTGGGTTCGATACCAGGTAGGGGGTGTGCAGAAGGAAGCCAATCAATGTTACGCTCTCACATCAGTGTTTCTCTTACTCTCTCCCTCTCCCTTCCTCTCTGGCTCTCAAATTCAATTTAAAAATCTTAAAAAAAAAAAAAAAATCCCTTCCTCCCATTGCTGACAAAGAGCCTTTCATCTACTTTCCTGCTGCCCACCTCCCTCTGACCTCCTTCCTGAGCTTCAGCTCTGCCTGTAGGGCCATCGTTTCCGACTTTCCAAAGGCTTTCCACAGTGTGGAATGCAGCACAGGAGACATGGTGCTCACTCTGTTTCTAGAAATAAACTTTGAGCTACATATTGAGGAATAGGATGAAGAAATAATACACAGTCATTACAGTTGAGCTGCCAAATGACTAAAATCAAGCTGGTTGAGGAATAATGAGCTTATTCTTGTTCTAATTAGCCTGGGATCTTAAACTTTTGAACTTTCCAGGCCTGTCAATCCCCGGATATACATACACCAGACCTCCAGGTAACCCTCAGATGACCCCCTGAAGGACTCATGTATCCAGACCACCTGACACCCATTATCCCAACCACACCTCCTGGCACCTATCTTTCTGACCTTGACATCCTAGACCAATCCTAGGGCTAAGAATGCAGGACTGATAATTCTCAAGAGTATCGTTTTTATTGTAAGAACTCTTAATTGTTCTTTCTTCTTCATAATGCTTCTAGGTTTTTGTTTAGCTGTGTTCCCAATTTGCAAACTCTTGAATAAATCTTTATCATTTATTTCTCGCCAAAGCCTTTAGCTCGTTTTGAGTTCATTTGACAATATCATATGAAGACAATATCAATAGCTTACTGTATGTATACCCACCACACGCTAGACTCTGCTAAGTGCTTTACATCGAGTTATTAATTCCAGAGCCTTGCGTACTGTCTTGGAGGCTGAGAGAGATGATGTCACGTTGGGAAAGTGATAGAGCCAGGACCGAAATCCAAAGCAGCCACCACCCCCATGAATGCCCCTCTCTGAGGGACAGACATTGGCACACCCTCAGTGGAGAAGTCCTGCCTGTGCAATCTGACCCCTTAGAACTTCAGAACACATTGGGGTAAGCAGCCTCAACTCCTGATCAAGCAGGTTAGAATGGCTGTGGCCATGGAAATCCATGACTGGATAAAGAGCAGCTACTATTAAAGTTGCTAGGAAACGGAGGCAGATCTCTGGAGGAGCCACAGACCACCCTCTTCCTATATGCCTTGGGATTCTGATGCAGGGGCCCAGGCCAGAGCCATTCAACAGAACATTATACACCGATGGAATATTCTGTATCTGTGCTGTCCTAAAGCAGCCACTGGCCACAAGTGACCACTTAGCCACTGAAATGTGGCTAGTGTGGCCAAGGAGCTAAATCTTTTGTTTTAACTAATTTACACTTAAATGGCCACATGTGGCTACTGACTGCCATACTGGACAGTTGCTGGAAGCTACCCATGTCTACACCCATGGTCGGCAAACTGCGGCTCGCGAGCCACATGCGGCTCTTCCACAAAATACCACGACCTGGGCGAGTCTATTTTGAAGAAGTGGCGTTAGAACAAGTTTTAAAAATTTGTCTCTCAAAAGAAATTTCAATCGTCATACTGTTGATATTTGGCTCTGTTGACTAATGAATTTGCCAACCACTGGCCTACACTATTGAGGAATTACAAACAAGGAACCTAGAAAGCTCATGGACCTTGAGCTTTGGCAAGGGCTAACGCTATGCACAATTGTTCTGACGAGACAATGGTGGCTCAAGCAATTTCCTGACCTAATAGTCTCAAAGTAAATCTTTATTAATATTTACTGACCTTTAATATAGTCTGTCTGCTACCGGAATTGCCTGCCTATTTAGGAGCAAGATGTATATCTAAAATGGAATAAAAGTCTGACAGGGCCTGGGCAACAGTGAAGCCTCTCCTCTTGAGAAAGACTCCACCTGGCCCCTGTGATTTCCAAATCCGTCCTTCTTGTCTAGTCTTATCATGTGTGCGAGGCCCTTCTCCAGGTCCTGAACCCAAGTCACGCAGGACGTGGCTGTCACAATCTTTCACAGACAGTGCAGATCTAGAATCGTCTGACTGTAGACCTCAGTTCTACTCAGGAAAGTGACTCGCCCTTCAGCTGGATAAGGGGCAGCCCACAGCCCAGAACTCGCGCCTCCCTTCTTCTGGACGGGACCTCCCGTCAATACAGGCTCAGGCTACCGAGAAGTCTGCTGCCCGTCCCACCCTCCCCACCAAGGCAGCTGTGCAGATGACTGGACTGGGCAGCTACTCAAGGCAATGAAAACCGATTCCAGGCCGACACTGCCCTTGAATGGATGCGGCCTTTGCCTGATGTGAGTGATCCAAAGGGATTCAGAAGGAAAATCAATTTAGCTCATTGAAAAGCACATGTAGGTTGTCTTTCAGAATAAGCGGGCGCCATTCAAACTGTAATAAGGAGAATTATTCCCCCGACCACCTCAGGCCCGTCTTGGGAGGAACCTCAGTGAGCAGCACCAGTTACTCCCTGCAGTGACCCTGCTCCGGGCGTGCTCTGAAGGGGCACAGAAAGGGAGCTGGCTTAGTAAAGTGTCTTCCTCTAAGAGTCCCTCTGTCTACAGCAATTTTATGTTGATGTGATTTCAGATCAGTTCTGTGTGTACAGGTTCATGCAGCACACTGGCTAAAGGGTGAATGAGCCTGGCCGGTGTGGATCAGTGGTTGAGCATCAACCTATGAACCAGGAGGTCACAGCCTGATTCCCAGTCAGGGCACCTGGCGGAGTTCTAAGCTTGATTCCCAGTGTGGGGCATGCAGGAGGCAGCCAATCAATGATTTTCTCTCATCATTGATGTTTCTCTCTCTCTCCCCCTCTTCCTTCATCTCTGAAATCAATAAAAATATTTTAAAAACAAACAAAAAACGAGTGACTTGTGCCCCATTCGGTGTCCATGTGAGACACACTGGTCAGCGTTGGTTCTCACCACTGGCAGCAACAGACCCAGAGGTGGTGCTGGAGGAAGTGCCCATCCGGCAACCCTCACATGCCTGAGTCAGGAGCAACCGGCAGCAGGTGGAGCCATCTGCACGCGTGAGGCTGAGCTCTGTGATGGCCCCCAACTTACAGGAAAACCATCGGTGCTTACTGGGCATGCCCTGGGCATGCCTGCATCCTCTCACCTGAATTTACAGTCAAGATTAATCAAACTCAATATTTGGTTTCTTCTTATCTGGCTGCAGAATCTCAAAGAAGACATTCCAAAAACTCAGCAACAACAACAGAAGGAGATGGGAGTGGGGGAGACGATCTCAGAACTGGAGGCCTTCCGTGCGGAACTCACGTGGTCAGACCAATCAGTGAAATGGATCAACGCTTAGTGGCCCAACCATTTAGTTAGTAAAATGTTTGTACCTTAGTAATTCCCAAAACTCCAATGTTGGGACTGGATGAAGTAGAGCCATTCCCAGTACCAAATATGCCATCGAGCACACAGGAGAGACCCTCCACGAAAATCCCCCTAAAATGTAAAGGAATGGGGCAAAAAGAAACATTCATTCAGTGGGGAACACTCTGAGATAGGCTCTAAGTGGCCATGACCCAAAGGTCTGGGCCACAGAGCTACACCCTCTGCACGCCTGGGAGGGGTAACAAGGCCGTCTCAAGCCCCATGCCAGACCTACAAGCTCATTTAGCTTTGAAAGCACCTCTGTGACCCACCCTTAGACACAGGCGTTTAAACAGCATTCCAAATTAAAAGCTTTTAGCCAGAAAGCAGAGCCATTTGTTGGGATCTAAAACAAATATAAGCTGTCCATTGATTTGATTCCTCTGCTATTAATACATAGTTTCACCAGGAAAGACATGCTTTGTAACTGTGTAAACATTGACACTTTTAAAAGAAACAATATACAAATAATTTAATCATAAGCAACAGCTCAACTGGAGAAAGACATAAATCCAGGACTGACATCCCTTACAGAACCAACATAAGAAATGCTGCCCTCGCCGGTTTGTCTGTGGATAGAGCTTCAGCCTGCGAACCGAAAGGTCCCAGATTCGATTCTGGTCAAGAGCACATGCCGGGCAGGCACCGGTTTGGCTCAGTGGTAGAGCGTCGGTCTGCAGACTGAAAGGTCCCGGGTTCGATTCCGGTCAAGGGCATGTACCTTGGTTGCGGGCACATCCCCAGTAGGGGGTGTGCAAGAGGCAGCTGGTCGATGATTCTCTCTCATCGACATTTCTAGCTCTCTATCCCTCTCTCTTCCTCTCTGTGAAAAATCAATAAAAATATATTAAAAAAAAAAAAAAAAAAAAAGAGCACATGTCGGGTTGCATGAAAGGGCTTTCATTTTATCACATGGAAGCCCTTTCAAATGGGCAGCAGCTCGGGGGGAACAGGGTTTGGGGCAATTTTATCTTCTGTGCGGCCTCCATAGGGTCCAGTTCACTCCTGGCATCCAGAAATTAATGAGCAGGTATGCTGAACACCTACATATGGCTCATAGTTCATAAACCTCTAGATTCTGCAGACTTCATTGATTCATGCTCCTACTTCTCTACCTATATAAATTGTAAATGTGCCCTAGCTGGTTTGGCTCAGTGGATAGAACATCAGCCTGAGGACTGAAAGGTCCCAGGTTTGATTCTTGTCAAGGGCATATGCTTGGGTTTTGGGCTCCATCCCCAGTAGGGCAAGTGAAGGAGGCAGCCGGTCAATGATTCTCTCTCATCATTGATGTTTCTCTCGTTCACTAGCTCTTCCTCTCTGAAATCAATTTAAAAAAATATTTTTTCCAATTGTAAATGTGAAGAGATGACACAGCATCCACCGTCCAGAACAGTTGAGGAAAACAGGAATAAAGGGGACAAACACTCATGACCCCAAGCAAATAACAATGGTGGTGTCTGGCCTGGGTTTTGGTGAATTTAAGGTCTAGAGCAGGGGTCGGCAACCTGCGGCTCCGGAGCCGCATGCGGCTCTTTTGAAGCTATGCTGCGGCTCCCAGCCGGCCAATAGCAGGGCGGGGAGCTGTATCACTTATCTCCGCCGCTCCTGGCGCTCTGTGTGGCAGGTTGCTGGCGACTTAGCGTCCCTAGGCAACTACAGCGTCCCTGTCCTGGCCCAGCCTCCTCCCTCACATCACAGCCTGTGCACCTCTGAGCTGGGTTGGAGGAGACTGCTGCGAGGGGAAAGAGAGGTGCTGACAGAGGGGACACTGAAAAATAATAATAATAAAAAAAGCAATGAAGAGAAAAAAGGGAGGAGGAAAAAGAAGAGGACAGAGAGAACAGAGAGGACTGGAGAAAGAGAAAGAGAGGGCTTGCAGTGTGACTGTCACTGGGAGTCGGGCCTGTACAGTGAGTGGAAAGCATATATTCTGACCTCCTGCTCCACAACAAGGTCTTACAGCCCTGATGTGCAGATACTGTGCACTGAGGTTCAGGAGCAAAAATCCCATTAACCAGGTAAATTAAATATTTTAATTAGCTATTAATTTGCAAAAATATATTTTACATTGTTAAGTGAAAAAGTCCTTTTTTTCTTCAGATTGACAGCTAACTGCACGATCTGGTATATAGCATTAAGGTAAGAAACAATATATGCAGTGTTATATTTGTTTTAAATGTCGCAATGGTTTTGCGGCTCCCAGGTTTTTTTTTTCCTTCGAAAACAGGTCCAAGTGGCTCTTTATGTCTAAAAGGTTGCCGACCCCTGGTCTAGAGTGACCTCAGAGAACGTATTATGCAATTGTCACTGTGAAGAAGAAAGGGTGAGAATTCTGCTCATTGTTACAAATGAGGAAATGAGGGCAGGATGAGGGCAGTGACTTGTCCAAAGACAAACAGCCAAGGAAGAGCCCTGTTCTTGCCTGCCTCCATGCTGAAACCCTTGGTTTCTTCTCCAAGATTATCCAAACCAAAGCATAACACAGCGAGGTGGCGGGTCCAGGGAAGTGCTCGTGTCCGCGGGAGCGCACCTGTTTATGGCGTGGATGGGCGGCGGCGGGGCACAGGACAGCCTTGCGCAGGCGTAGTAGTCCCCGATAGACTCGATGATGCTGGAGACCACGGCGCTGAGCATGCCAATGACACCAGCCGCAGAGATGGTGGGCAGGCCCCACTGAACTGTAGAAAGAAAACAAACGTCAGGTCCTCGCTGTCTCAGAGGCACAGGCAATCATCACACATCAAGTCATTCAGCACACCCAAGGATGCTACAAGGCCCGCTCAGAATCTGAAGCTCACGGTGGAACCTTGATGCTTAAACCTACTAGTTAACTACCCTGTTTCCCTGAAAATAAGAGTGTCTTATATTAATTTTTTCTCCCAAAGTTGCGCTAGGTCTTATTTTCAGGGGATGTCTTATCTTTCCATGCGCTAGGTCTTATTTTCGGAGGATGTCTTATTTTTGGGGAAACATGGTAGTACATCACCAATGGCTAGATGCCTGGAAAGGGCTCCGGAGTCAATGAAGATGCCCATCACCAGGCTCAGGCTGCTCTATGTCCTTCTTTAAAAGACACTGTTTGGCAGAAAGAGGTGGGTGCTTCTCTTCCTGCTTCAAAGCCAGAGACTAAATTAAAATTTGAACAGCCTGCTGTGTTGGGATAGAAATTTGTACGAATTTAACCCTGCTGTGCAAAGTATGGTACAAACCAATGTTACCCTCGCTCTGGGACTGGCATCAAATGAGAAAGCAGTGAAAAGCCACCAGTTAAATTTAGATCCCAACAACAGAGCATGGGACAAGGTGCAGATAATCCTTCCCTAGTTATCCCTAAGCACTTTCATGTTTTTTATTTGTAAACCATGTTATGGAAAATTAAATAATTTAAGAAAGCAAAGAGAAGTCCCCAGGTAGTTTTAATTCTGGATTTGGTTTCCTCATTAGAGATACTTTGAAAGGAAAAAATCTTTTTGGACTTTCCAAGCCATAGATCTCACTTAATAAAAATACCAAGAGGAGCTTTTACTGTAAGAGTGAATAGACTTCTTTGATAAAGTACCTAGACCTTCTTCCCTTGAACCATTAGTTATAATATAGTCACTAAGAAAAAACACAGTGGGAAGAAGAAGATGGATAAGATAAAATGGTCATTAAGGCCGTTTGATGAATGATCCAAGAACAGTGTAATGGGTAGACATCAAAGGGAGGCAACCCAAACTGGGTCACAGCGAGTGGAGGTTGGGAAGTCAGGAAGAGGACAACCTGGTCCGGAGAGAGTCTAGAGAGCAAGAGCTGAGTGGAGAGTGCATTCAGAAGGGCAGCGCTGAGCATCAGCAGGTGGGCAGGACCGGGGGCAGGCATGTTTAGGAGGCTCCATGCACCACCTAAAGGCGACTGGCCTCTGTCTCACAGGTTAACGAGGAACAACTTCAGGTTTGGGAAGAAAAAGGTGACACATGAAGTCAGATGTGCAGAATATGCCTGGAGTGTGTGCATGAGGACAGAACTAACTGCTCCCACTTGGGCTACTTCACTCCATGGGAGCAGAGGACTCACAGGCCGTGGTCAGAGAGTCAAGATACACGTCCACGGGCACCACGCTCTATGCCCAGCACGCTCTATGCCCATCCTAACTGGGCTTGGTCAGCATCTTATCTCCGATGGGTTTGGAGCAGATTTTTCTCATGCAGACTATTTCTTTATCAAGCAACATTTTGTATTTTTAATGTATTTTCTATGGTTACCTGTTGCTGATGTCATGTTGTAGTTTCATTTTAGTGACTTGATTTAGGGGAGAGATTTTTATTTCATTTTGCTATTTACTAATTTTTCAGAAATTGCCTTTTACTGTTTTCTATTTCCCCCCTTCTTTGTGCCTGAAATCCTTAATTTTGATTTATAAGATCCTTAGTCCATCTACTTCAACACTTTAAATCTATAATCTTTTACATGATGGACCTTTTTTTCTTCAGATTATATATTTAAAACCTTGTTGGCTTCCAGCCTTCTATATTTACTGTTATTTCATCTCTCCTTTAATTTATGTTGTTACTTTATTTACAGCAGGTTTCTCAACCTCAGCACTGTGGACATTCTGGGCCCCAAATCTGTATATTAACAGCCAGCACAGGTCATTCTCAGCATGCTACAGACAGAATATAAAGAGAGGGGCATGTGTGAAAACTGGACTCCAAAGTAAGCCAAATCCACCTGGCTTCCTGGGGTGGCATTTCCCTGGGTATCAGAGCAGCTCACGCCGTCAGGGGTGACAGGACAGGAGCCAGACAGCTGTCTCAGCACATGCACGGCTGCTTCTCCGAGGAGCCCACCTGCGCCCATGTTTGTGCTCATCTCAGCAGCCACCTGCACAGGTGGAGGACCACCCAGCATGTGCCCTCCCAGGCCACCTCCTGACTGCCTCAACAACTGGTTTTTAATCTCTTTCTCTCAGATTCTATGTACACTGGAGGCCCAATGCACAAAATTCGTACAAGGGTCTCGGCCCTGCCACCCAGAAAGTCATCCGGAAGGACATCTGGTCTAATTAGCATATTATGCTTTTATTATTATGGATTTAGGAGCTATGCATTTTTTTAAAAAGAAGAGGAGTACCTATGTACATACTTAGACCATATGACCTGATGAAAGTGTTATTTTAGAAAGGCTACATTTTTTAAGTGTTTGTAGATGTGTCAAGAACAGAAGGACAACTGCCGATGTTGCCATCATTTAACAGGCGTACAACAGCTGTCTCTGACCCAGTCCTAATATTCTTGGCCTTTCCTGCTTTCTCTCCTTGTCACTATAAAACGTGAAAATGTGACTGCTATGAGCAGGGGAATAAAGCAGCTCAGGCTCCTCTAACTAAGCCCCAAATGTCAGAACGGAGTGTACGCCACAGGACAACTCAGCATTTGTAACGATGGGGGAGGGGTCTGCCTAGCACCCGTGAATCCAAATGTTATCTCAGCTTGGGACTGCCTCCCACCCCCGAACTAGCCAAGAGTTATCTAACACTTAAATCTTAACTTATGATCCATTTTCCATGCATTTGTGAGTATCAGTTTACCTCTGACAGCTGGACCAAATTTTAGAAGATTATAGCTCCCCATTATAAGATTATACAAATCCCATCATGCTTGAGCAGTTTGCTGCTAATCTTCAGGCCCCTCCCACTCCAGTCTGCTCACTTCAGAGGCCTGGGCCTGTGTACACGACTCTGTACTTGTGTTTCTATGAGCTGCCCTTAAATCCAGGCCACCAGACCTCAAACCTGGCAAGAGGCCCCTTGTCTAGGATTTCACCCTAATGGAACCCAAAGAACCACCTAGTTAACCTGAGAAGGGAGCTGGTTAGTCTGTGTTCATGATGGCCCTCCCGGGACAGGACCGATCTCCCTTGAGGGTTGAATCCTCTCATGACCAGAATGGTAAGACCTACAGGGATGAGAAGGCTCCTGCCACAGAGCCTTCTGCTCACTTCCAAGGCCTCTCAGTTGCCCTCGTGAGCTCCTGACCCCTCTGCCACCAAAATACTTACAGGGGTATGGGACCTTAAACCACGGGGCCACCAGCAGCACACCCTGCCTGGCGTCTGTTCGAGCGTAGAAGCCATACTTGGTGCTGTCGGGAGGGAAGACATCTGTCACTGTGAAGATGAAGCAGAGCAGCCAGGACACGAGGATGGCCAGGATGATCTGAAGGGATCAAAAAGAAAGAAAGAAAAAAAATAAAAAGGCTCTTAGCCACAGAGGGGGGGCGGCTGCTGGCAAAACATACGCCTTCCTACAGTCTGAGTGCCACAGCCCAGAACCCCCCTTTCATTCAAAACACCCATAACAGATCTTCTGAAAGCCTACTGCTTGAATGGGATCAGATTTAGAGAGATGAGTTATTCGCAGATAAAGTTACTTTCACCCAAAGTCTGGCTAATAAAATAAAGATAACGGCCCTGACTGATTTGACTCAGTGGATAGAGCGTCAGTCTGCGGACTCAAGGGTCCCAGGTTTGATTCCGGTCAGGGGCATGTACCTTGGTTGCGGGCACATCCCCAGTAGGGGGTGTGCAAGAGGCAGCTGATCGCTCTCATCGATGTTTCTAACTCTCTATCCCTCTCCCCTCCTCTCTGTAAAAAATCAATAGAAAAAATAAAAATATAAATAAATAAACATAACGAACAATGTCCCTCAAAGGCAGCATGGAACCAGACCACCCTCAGTCCCAGGACAGTCAATGTCCCCCTAAAGTATTTCAGAATCAGAAGCTTCTACCACTTTGACTTGAAGTCCATGGCAAGTTGAGGGGAGAGGGGTCATTAGTACCCCAGTGTCACCACCCAGACAAGGGCCCCTGCGCAGACCTGCTGAAAACCCTATTACTTAAACATTTTACGTCATGAACCAAGGACAATATGTCAGGAGAAAAAAAAAAATCATTACTTACAGGAAACATTTTGAAAAGCTGTAACTTGTATGCAGTCCATCCTTTCTTGGACTTGTAAATTGGGAGGGGAAATTTAACATTTCTGGCATATTGAGAAAACAGTAATACAAGGAAAATTGTCCTGAGGAGAGAGAGAAAATAAACTAGTTTCAAAGCTGTTTGTCTGTATGTTAAAATATTGCTCAAACATTCAATGGCAAAGTGATCACATATGTTCAACTCACTTTAACAAGTGGCTAGTCCTCTTAACTATTACTTGGGAAATCATATCTTTGGTAAATGCCATTTTTGAAAAGATATTTAAACACTTTTTCTTAGCATTTCTTGATGTAGAAATGAAAGTCACCATGTAAATGCTTTGGCTAAATTTCCCATAACAGAATAAGAAAACCCAAAGAATGTACACAGTAATGGAAGAAACTCATGCTATGTCAGAGAAAAAGTCAGGCTGACAGATACAATACAGAGAGGAGTGTAATTATAACTACAAATTAAAAAACAAGCAACTACTGCACAAGTGTCTGTGTACACATGCAGACACATACATGCAGTGAAGATGGGACCCAAGCTGCTCACAGGAATTGGCTTCAGGAGGCAATATAATATGCAAATTTGTCCCTACTTTTCTGTATTTTCTGGTTTATTTATAAGGAGCAAAAATTATTTTTAAAAAGCAAAAAGCTTCAATATTTAAGAAACCTATATAGAGTAGATTGCAATATTAATATTTGTGAGATGTTTGTGTATGTCAGACATTATGCAGAGGTTTTCCCATCCATCATCTCAACCTTCTGCAGTAGCTTCTATAATCATCCACTTCAGAGACAACGTCCAAGGTCATGTCACCCGAGTCTGCAGGGTGGGTGAGCCAGGACTCTACGGCCTGGACTCTGTACCCCTTTGCAACACGGGCCATTAGGGCTGGGATGCCTGGGCAGTGCAGGAGCCCCTGCATCGTGACCCACACTCCTGACCCAGCTGCACTGAGGGCCACAGGAGGCAGTGATGCGGGTGCCTTCCCTGCAGCAGGTCCCGACAGATCTCCGTCCAGTGCTCGGGTGTGGCGGGTGTGGGGTGGCTTCCCGTCACTGAAACAATGGAGGCGCACAGTGATGTGTTTCATCATCCGGCGGGACTCGCTCTTTCACTTACAACCCGAGACAGAGCTGGGAGGAAGAGTGGGAACAAAGCTACGCTTAATTGTCCCTGGGCCCGGTTCCAATGGCTGAGATGGAATTATCCGCTCCATTGGTCAGTCAAGTGCGGTTTCACTGTAATACAACTCCTAATGAAGTGGGGACTGCAGCCGGCTGGAGCACAGGCCTGTGCTCCGCTGTCCCCCTGCCTACCCTGGGCTTCGCTATCCCAGTGACAGGGGTCTCTACAACAAGGTCACCAGGCCCGTACCAGTTCAAAGTTGAAAACATGCATAATGCCCAAGTGATTCCAATTTCTCTGGGTGGTGAATTTGAACATCAAAAATGATATAGCAATGACATTAAAACTGGCTTATTTTAAACTCAGAACATGAAATTTTTAAAAATGCTATTATTTCAAAATGAACACCCAGAGCCAAAAAGGCCCCATGTCTGCTATGATTGTTATCACTAGAGGCCTGGTGCACAGATTCATGTATGGTTGGGGTCCCTCAGACTGACCAGCGATTGAGGCCATCTTGCCCAGTCACTCCTCCCCAAGGCAGGTTGGCTGGCCAATCGTGGGAGGTTGGCTGTGGGAGCAACTGACCACCAGAGGGCAGCTCCTGCATTGAGCATCTGCCCCCGGTGGTCAGTGCACATCATAGCTACCGGCCAGTCATCCGGTCATCTGGTTGAAACTGTCATTTAGGCTTTTACACATATAGATTATTGCAGGAGACACCCATCTGACAATTACACCTGCACTGCGGTGGTCACTTTTCAAAGCACATTTGAAAAAGGATGCTCGGCCTGGCCGGCATGGAGTATCAACCTATACACTAGGAGTTCACAATTCAATTCCGGGTCAGGGTCCATGGCTGGGTTGCAGGTTTGATCCCCAATTGGGAGCATGCAGGAGGGAGCTAATCAATGATTCTTTCTCATCATTAATGGTTCTATCTTTCTCTCCCTTCCTCTCAGAAATCAATAAAAGCATACTTTAAATTCATTAAAAAGGGTAAGGACCTTAGCCAATTTTGCTCAGTGGTTAAGAGAGTCGGCCCGCTGACTAAAGGGTTGTGGGTTAGATTCTGGATCACAATTGGCGCGTGTGCGGAAGGCAACTAATTGATGTTTCTCTCTCTCTTTGTCCCTTCTACTCTCTAAAAATCAATGGAATTAAGTGAAGATTACAAAGAATTAATTAGGAATAGGGACACACCCAGAATTCAGGGAAGGACACCCTGATCTCTGGCCCAGATCTAACAATGCAAACTAAGTGAGTGGACTGGCAGATGAGTTCTCATATTCTTCCCACTCCAAAACTAGTCTGCTCCTAATTCATGTCCATCCTCAAATACACCTGTGGGGCAGGTAAGCCAGGCAGTCCCACAGCAGAGGCAGGTGGTGGGGGCTGTGCCCATGCTCACACCTTGACTGAACAGTAAAGAGACAAGGATCTGAGCCCCAGATCCTCAGGCCAGAGTTCGGCTACCACAGCCAGCTAGTCCCACTTCACATTTATATATGGCTGGCTTACTGACCTTTCTTTTACCTTACAAATATTAGTCAAGAAACATACACTAAAGTGTAGGAAATTATAAAAGGAAGATAAGCAAAAACAAAACAAAACGAAAAACCTTAAGATCACCATCATCCCACTGGTGACAACTACGTAGCATTCTGGTCTATTAATTGTGAACGGCTCCCAATCCTGGGATGTGAATGGGTCATCCTGGGGTTAAGAGGCAGCTGCCTCATCCTCAGAGCACAAACAGGTCATCCCCTGGCCCAAAGTGAATTCACACTTTACATGCTGCTGCCCAACCTCTTAATGTCATGACCTCAATATACGGAGATCTGCACCAGCACCTCAGTGCTGCTGCTCAGCATTCCATCGTACAGAGGCAGCACGTCTTGTCTAACAATTCCCACAGGTGCCACACGGGGAGTAACGGAAACTGTGACAGATCGCCCATCCCTGGTGCCTGCCTATCTCCTGGTGACAAGTTCCCAGGGCCAGAACGGATCTGTCAAACAGTAAATAACTTACTTAAAAGCTTCTGATACTCACTGCCAAACATGAACAGAAATGAGTGAATTTACAGTACCACCCAGGGACCAAGAACATTCCTTTGCTGCTCTCTGTAACACGGGGCCCTACATATTTTAAAGCCTCTACCAATTTCATTAATTAAAAAGACTTATCATTTACTTTATCATCATTTACTTTATTTTTTTAATATATTTTATTGATTTTTTAGAGAGGAAGAGAGAGGGATAGAGAGTTAGAAACATCGATGAGAGAAAATCATTGATCAGCTGCCTCTTGCACACCTCCCACTGGGGATGTGCCCAAAACCAAAGCACATGGCCTTGACCTGAATCAAACCCAGGACCTTTCAGTCCTCAGGCTGACGCTCTATCCACTGAGCCAAACTGGTCTCGGCATATCATCATTTACTTTAACATTCATTCTTTACAAATTAATTACTTAGTCCAGCATGGTTTGCAACAGCCAATATTTTAATCATTCATTCATGAGTATCAACTGGGGAATGGTTTAAGAGATTACAGACTCTTTCTGTTTAACATTGTGTAGTTTTATAAAGAATGAAATAGATCTAAACACATTGTGTTGGAAAGATGAGTTCAACAAAAAATGTTGGGGTGAAAATCAAATTATAAAATAATATGATGGTAAAGCTGTGTATCACATGTAAATATGCTTATATTTATGCACAAACAACAAAAATCTGAAAGGATAAATACTAACTTTTTACTAGCTGATCATGAGCAGATTTTTTTGAGAATGGGAATTACTTTACGTTAAATTTCCCTATTTACTGTTAAATTTCAAATGGCTAGAATTTTATATTTTGGGGGTGAGGGTCAGATAAAATGAGACTTCTCTTGAGGGTTTGGTGATGGTCCAGGAGAGCTTGTTACACTATTCTCTCTACTTTTTAAAAGGTTTGAGATTATCCCTAAGAAAAATAAAGTTTTCTCAAGAAAAGAACAGTTCGCTATTAAGGCCCTATGCAAGGTGTTAGAAATGTCACCACATTTACCTTCCCCTAAGAAGTGTCTCTAAATGCCATTTCTATTGGAGTGACTAAGGGATCCATGCTGTACAACCCGACCCCTTCCCACCCCCTGCAACACACACACTGCTAATGGAATCCCTGTGAATATGCACTTTGATATCTGGGTAGGAAGGGTAACCCTTTTAAAACACTAATTAGCTATTTGTATTTCCTCTTATTTGGAAACTAGAGGCCCAATGCAGGAAATTCGTGCAAGAGTAGGCATTTCTTCCGGCTGCTGGCACCAGCTTCCCTCTGGCACCTAGGACCCAGGCTTCCCTTGGGCCACCACCAGGCACCCGGGACCCTGGCTTCCCTCTAGCCCAGCTTTGTCCAGAAGGATGTCCAGTCTAATTAGCATATTACCTTTTATTTTAGACTAGAGGCCCGGTGCATGCCCTCTCTAGTCTGGAACCCCTCAGGGGATGTCCGACTGCTGGGGGATGTCTCAGGAGGTCCTTAGCACTGCCATGGAGGCAGGAGAGGTTCCCACCACTGATGCTCAGCTTGCCAGCCGTGAGCATCTTGCATTGAGAATCTGCCCCCCTGGTGGTCAGTGTGCGTAGCGACTGGTCATTCTGCTGTTAAGTCGATTTGCATGTTAGGGTTTTATTATATAGGATGATTGCTCATATATCCTTCATCCATTGCTCCACTGGGACTCTAATTAGTGAAATACTATGAATTGGAGACATTAACCTTTCTTGTAGAATTTGTTGTAAATCTTTTCCCAGATTTAATCATAACTTAGTTTCAGTGTTGGTTTTATTTGAGTATAAATGCACTAGAAGTAAACCGGTTTGGCTCAGTGGATAGAGCCTCGGCTTGCGGACTGAAAGGTCCCAAGTTTGATTCCAGTCAAGGGCATGTACCTTGGTTGTGGGCACATCCCTAGTAGAGGGTGTGCAAGAGGCAGCTGATCGATGATTCTCTCTCATCGATGTTTCTAACTCTCTATTCTTCTCTCTTCCTTTCTGTAAAAAATCAATAAAATATATATATTTTTTAAATCTATCAATCTATCCCTTTCCAATATCGGTTTTAAGATCTTCCGACTTTCCTGATTAAATGTTTATGTAGGTTTTCTCTTAGTACATTTATAGTTGTTTTCTGCATTTAAGTCTTAATTTAACTGAAATGTGATTTGTCATAAAGTAAAAATTTACCTTTCTTCCTAATAATTATCTAATTTTTCCTACACAATTCTTCAATCTCCCACTGATTTGAAATATGACTGCAACACGTACTAAACACGGTTTTCTTGGCTTTATTTCTATCCTCCTTGCTCTGCTCTACCCAAGTCATTCGGGTCCAGGACCAGGACCACCATATTGTTACTCGGCTCTGGAAAGTATTTTAATTTTATAAGGGCAAATTGCCATTCCTTTCTCCCTGACCTTACTGGTATTTATCCATATTACTTTACTAGAGGCCCAATGCACGAAATTCATGCAAGAGTAGGCCTTCCTTCCTCTGGCTGCTGGCACCAGCTTCCCTATGGGACCCAAGATCCGGGCTTCCCTCACAGACAACCTTGGACTGGAAGGTTGTCCGGTCTAATTAGCCTATTACGCTTTTATTATTATAGATTTTCTTGTCTTAGGCACTGGTTAGCACATTCAGGACAACTTTGAATGATATGGCAGTAATAAGCATACTTATCTTGGTTTCTGCTTATAACAGGCAGGCCTGTTTATTAGTAAGTCTTTTGCCATTAAAGAATGAGGCATTTTAATTAAAATCTTACTCATGAAAGATTCTTCTATTCCCACACTACAAACAATTTGCAGAACAGATATACAGTTGAATTTTATTGTTTTTTGTTTTTGTAAATGTGGTTTTTATTAATAAAATCCACATGGACCCATAATGGTTTTATTAATAAACTTTCTAATAATCCTCCTTCCTTGAGGTCCTGAGATAACACAAAATTCATTGTCCTTTTATTGTATTATCTGTAGCAGCCTTTTCCCAAACCACATTGTAAGGGGCATTCTTCCCAGGTGTTTACACTAAAAAAATAAATTAAGTGTATGCAGTGCTGGATCCAAAGGCCCTTTCTGGAAGAATTTGTGTTTTAGAAGATTTCAACAGCTGTCAGAGGGGAGGCGGGGGGAGGACTGGATGAAAGAAGGTAAAGGGATGAGACAAAGAACATATACGCATAACCCATAAGCCATAGACACAGAGTGATGATGGCCGGGGCTAGGGAGTGGGGGGAAGTGGGCAAAGGGGGGAAATGGGGTCACCTGTTATAGTTTCAACAATAAAAATGAAGTTAAAAAAACATTTTAAAGAAACTTTACAACAGAGAAAGATGCCTACACATATCTGCCCTCGGCTCTGAGCGCTCCACACCCCAGGAAGGAACAAGTTGGTCAGACTCTCTCTTTCATTAGCTCTGTCAGTATTTGCCACTGAGATAAAACTGAGTCGTTTCCCTTCTTTCTAACGCTCCAGGAAAGGTTAAATAATGCCGGAATTCTCTCTTCCTTGAAGACGTAATACACTCACTGTCTCACCACTGGAGACCAGCGCTTCTTTTAGGGATAGAAGTCCTTTGACATTACTCTCGACTTTCCCCAGGGTCATGGGTAAAGTCTGACCCCCGCTCCAGTCCTCCCCTCACAGTGTGCTAACTGCCTCCTCTGTGAGACAGCGAGCCAGGTGCTTGTGGGTGCAGTGGTGATCGACCAACACAGAGTGGAGGCCTTGCCCTTACACAATGCAGACCCTCCTGCTGCATCTGTCTCCTGCCAGTTGGGACATATTTTTGAGTCTCCTTTAAAGGATTCTAGGTATTTCAATTTATGCAAATTTGGTCTGACTTCAAAAGTCAAGAGCTAATGGCACCACTCAAAGTTTGAAACCTTACATCCCTGCACCTCACTGCCAAGTCTTCGGCATACCTTGACAGCAAGTCATTTCCCAATTCCGACTCTAAAACACCGTCCATTCCCTGGCAGGGAGTGAATCAAGTTCTGACTTAAAATAAAACCTATCTCCTAAAGTCAGAATGTTCCAGAGGCTGCCGCCCCTTGGGGGTGGAAAGAGGAGAGAGTTTCACCGTCCACAACTGAGTGGTCTCAGAACACTTACAGCATGGCGATGCCCCAGTGCTTCCCCGCTCGCTCTCCTGCCGCCTGGAAGCCGGAGAGGCCAATGAGGGCCACCGTGGGCGTAATGGTCAGGGGCCCGATGTACTTCAGCAGCGCGCCAGGCAGGCCCAGGAAGCCGATGACCACTTCTATCAGCGAGGACATGATGATGGCCCCTTGGATCTGGAATAAGAGCGGGCACAGACATGAGTAAGCTGCTTATGCGTCACTACTCAATGTCACTCACATCCACAACTGACAATTCTGTGAGGCATCAAGGCATTATACAATGGACATGACACGGCTGGAAATTTCCCGGTGTGATGTATGACCGGACTAATGTAAGAATAGCATTGTAGGACTGGGCACCTGATGCAAAGCGAACTTGCCTTTTCCACTGACAAATGAGACAGGCATAATTTATAATTCCTAAGGGACACTGCAGTATAAAGCTCCTTGACTTTAAAAAGTGAGTCCCCGCAGGACACTTAAAAGACAGCGCAATTGACAAAGATGCTAAAGGAATGTTTCTATTGTACAGAATAGTTGGGCTGACTCTGAATGAATGGTGAATGATCATACAGGTTTTAAAAGATCTGAATAAACTGTCAGTCATTCTTATGTCTAAGGATTCCCACGACCTGTCCCGTTCAGGTGCACTGAATAGGCAATTATCTTAATTCTTTCCACAAATACAGGCCAACACAGAGCTCTGCTGCCTGCTGACAAGCCTCTGAGGCTCCTTCCAAAGGAGCCACGCCCCGCGGCGGGTTCCACTCGGGGTGCCAGTGCGCAGGCCAGTGGGTGCACCAGAGAGAGGAGGGGGACACAGGGTGAGAAACAATACTATCGGGATGCACACAGCATTTCTGCGTGCTTTATTTTACAGCGATCCCATCTGACTGGAGGACGTGTTTAACGACACAGATAAACACGTCAGTAGCTGAGAAGGGAGGGAGGGCTTAGTCAAGCAACTGCAATTTCTTGGGCACAATCAACAGCGGGGCGGAGGAGAAACACAAAGCGGCCACGGGGGGGGGGGGGGGGGGCATGCTCGGCTTTTACCTCGCGGATGCGGGGGTACCAGATGTGCTCCGTGTGCAGCAGCTCCGTGGTTCCATTGACAAACGAAACATCTTGAAAACAAACACAAAGACAAGATTTTTCTTGAAACAACACTGACACTTCACAAGACACGTTCATTTCACTCTTTTTAAGAAGAATTTCCTCCCTGTGTTAAGTCTATGTGTACATAAATACCCATCCCTGAAATTCCACAGTGTGGCTTACCATGCTGAAGGGCAGACTCCCCAGCGCTAACTGAACCAAATGTGTTCATGGGCTGAAGCTCCCAGCTTGTCAGAAGCTGACGAGCTGGACGTGGCTCGTGCCAGCCTCACAGAACGACCAACCCTTGCAAGCAGTTAACTTGCAAACCAATAGCAAGGCTGCCTTAGGTTTAAAAACCTGGATAAAACGGAGGGCCTTCTCCAGTTTCCAAATCAACTCAGTGGTCACCAAGTAACTCCAAGGAGCATGGAAGGAAAGGGAAGCTGGAAAACTTTGCTCCTAGAACCTAAAAAACCGAACCGTCTTTTGAGAGTACCACAGGTCTGGTTTTCTCAAGTCCCCTGTCTTCTCTTGTCCTGATCTTATCACTTAAAGGGGGGAGGGAGGTGAAAGTCATTTGCAGAAAACCAAAGCAGCCAGATCCTTAAAAAGCAGAGATGTCTCAGAGAAGGGATGCTGATGCAGCAGAGAGAGTGATTACGGGTGGTTCATAAAATCCACTGAAAGAAAGAGGCAGGAAAATAGCACAAATATTTCTCCCTTCATTCCCACACATATCAATCTCATTAGCATAGAGATTTGCGGTCCCTTCTGGCCCTCACTTGCTCTGGGTGTAGGGATGAACGAGTGGACAGAGAGAGACGGAAACATGATCCACAGATTGGAGCATTCTAAGCTGTTTGCTGGCCTGTGTGTTCTGGTGCCCGATTCCAGAAAGGATTTAAGGCTGCCCGGGGCAGCGTGTCCAGGCCTCCCTTTTATCACCTGAGTTAAAGGACCCCAAGGACATATGTGGAAATAACTGCAATTACCTGTGGTGTTACATTTCCATTTATCTAAAGACAGGATGGCTCGAGCAGGGGCCAGAAATGCAAAAGCACTGGCCTGAAACAGGGGTAACCTAAAAGAAACGAGACCAAAACCATGATCACGGCATCAGGAACTACCGAGGTAGTTCACTATTTGATAGCTTAACAGTCTTTTCCATAGACAAACAGCACATGAGTAAATGCAGGCACACCTGGAAGAAAGAACCCAGTCTGCAAAGAGAGCCTCTGCCGGGCAGCTGGGCCCAATGGCTGCTCCAGCCTCCCCTCTGCTGCTCTTCCCCCACACAGCCTCAGGCAGGCCCTGGAGTCAGCACCGGAACCCCAACACCAGCCCTGCCATCGTCACCTTTCCCCTGGGGGGGGGGGGGGTATTTTGCATTTGGGAAGTCTCTCTTTCCTGCTGAGCTTGTGAGCTCCTCATTAAACATCCATGTCTGTCTTCTATTTCACCACCCTTCCCCTCCCTTTCAAAATTATGGAATAGCATAGAAACAAATTTATCTTCCTGTTGTTCCATTTTATAGCCAGAGACTGCCCTAAAACAGAGAGGTAAGCATTAAAATCACGTCAGTGCTCTACATCGATTGAGGAAAAGCTGTAAGTTACAAACCAACAGTAGATATAATATTCTGTTGAATCATGAAAGGACTCAAATATTCTAAACCTTATTTTTAAAGGACCCAGAAATGTGCAAACTTTCTATAAAATCTGTCCCCATCCTCCAACTAAATGCAGATACTCAGATTTCATCATTCAATTGTATCTTGGATACGTCACATTAACTTTATGAACACTAGAGCTATTCAAATTCAAAAGATGTTGCTCCAATTGTATTACTAAGGTGGCTTTATGGGGTAACGTGAGACCTTGACCACACTGTTAACATACTTCAGGGCAAAATGGAAAACTGGCTCCTGTTTGCAGGGCTGGGAACTCCCGGATGTCCAGATCCTTCTTAAATACCAGGAAGCAGCCTTGTGTGAATGCCCTGGCTGGGGGGATTGGGAGGGGGGGCGGGGGCAGTATCCCTCCCTGGGCTGACAGCAGGTCCTGCCTTGACTGAAGCAGGAACTGGACTGGGAAACAGAGTGGCTCTGGCTGGAGGACAAGTATCTGCTTTACAAGTGCAGAGTCGGCACACACCATTCTGAGCCAGAGGAGGGTCAAGATTCTCGTTCTCCTGGCCATTTCAATCATGCAATGAAATCGGCTGAGAGCAGGCAGAGGCCAGACATTTAAGACACAGAGGCAGGCTGCATGGTACAGCCCAGATGCACCGCTGTCAGCCAGCCACGTGGGCATGCCCTCCACCAACCATCCCAGAGCATAGTACCATCGAAAGATGAAGCACGTGTGTGGCTTAGTTGGTTGGGTGTCGTCCTGTGCACTGAAAGAGTGTAGGTTCGATTCCCAGTGAGGGCACATGTCTGGGTTATGGGCTCCTCCCCAGTGAGGGTCATGAAGGAGGCAGCTGATCCATATCTTGCTCTCACAACGATCTCTCTCTGATCTCTCTCTCCCTCTCTCAAAAATCAATAAAGTCTTAAAAAAAAAAAAAAAGTGAAGTCACCTCACGTGGGAATGTAGTATAATATATCAAAAGGGAGAAAAAACTGCTTGATTTAGACAGATTCCTTAAGCACAATTTTTCAGAAATGTACAGAAAAGGTAAAGGGAGGTCAGCATCCATTAGAAATGGATGCCATCTCACATGGTGTAACGGCCTCTGTTTGCCATTGTTTCTGATGTCAAGCAATGCATCTTAGGATAATGCACCATGGGTTGCACTTAGAGAGCTTGTCCTTGGGAACTACTGCAATCATCACTAGCTCTGGGTTCTCCTTCTGGGGACATGATCTATACTCGACCTCAGTCTGCACTTGGCCTGGGCACCTTTCAGGGCAAGCATTCTATGGCATCACCGACCAGAAGCCGTAAGAGCACTGCAGCAAACCAGCTAACGCACTTTCAAACAACGAGGACCCTGGGCTCCTCCGAAGATGGGTGATAATTTCCACAAGTGCTGCCCAGACAGTTTCCCAAGATTCGGGAAAGGCTGTCCGAGGCGGCTTATTGTTCACTGTTGGGACACACGCTGTCTGCCACAGCCGTGCTGTCTGAAAGGCGGTGGCCGCTTTGCAGGAAGCAGCAGTCGGCACCCCAGCAGGTAAGTGTGGTCTCCATACCTGGCAGCATAACTCGGCGGCCTGACTGAGTTACTCCCAGGGAAGTTGCTACAAGGACGCGTGACTGCATTAAACAAGAGGCACCTCCTGCCGAAACCGGTTTGCTCAGTGGATAGAGCGTTGGCCTGCGGACTGAAAGGTCCCGGGTTCGATTCCGGTCAAAGGCATGTACTTTGGTTGAGGGCACATCCCCAGTAAGGGGTGTGCAAGAGGCAGCTGATCGATGTTTCTCTCTCATCGATGTTTCTCTCTATCCCTCTCTCATCCTCTCTGTAAAAAAATCAATAAAATATATTAAAAAAAAAAAAAAAAAAAAAAAAAAAAAGAAGCACTTCCCCAGTGGAATGCTGGTCAACCCTAGGGCTCTTCTCTCTGCACCTCACACACACCAGCATCTAACCCTCTCCGAGTAGTCAAGCCTGCCTGCCATTTTATTTTGTACTGGCGACTGGGAAGGAAACCAATTAAACCATGCCCTTCTTTACGCCAGGGGTTGGCAAACAGGCCCATGAGCCAAATCTGGCAAATTACCTGTTTTTACGAGTCAAGTGTTACTGGGACACAGCCACCCTCATCTATTTCCGAGGTGCTGACAGGCGCTTTCGAGCTTCGATGGGAGCGTCAGGCGGGCAGACACAACAGAGACTAGAAGAGCCTGAAGTATTTATTGCTTGCCCCTTGACAGAAAAAGCTGGCCAACTTTGATTTTCAGGGAAATAGACTTTAAATATGTGAAGAAGTGGTGGATTTTTTTTTAGACTTCAGTTTTTAAGGTTGATCGTGTCACTAGATGTAAGAAAATTTCTAGTCGAAACCGGTTTGGCTCAGGGTGTAGAGTGTCTGCCTGCGGACCGAGAGGTCCCGGGTTTGATTCTGGTCAGGGCATGTACCTTGGTTGCGGGCACATCCCTAGTAGGGGGTGTGCAGGAGGCAACTGATAAGATATTTCTCTCTCATTGATGTTTCTGACTCTCTATCCCTCTTTCTCCCTTCCTCTCTGTAAAAGATCAATAAAATATATATATTTTTTTAAATTCTGAGCAGATAGGCACGTTTGTTAGGATACATCCCCATGGTGGGCTTTATCCCCAGGACAGCAAAAGGACCTAATCAGCCCTACAACCAGCATGGCTCAGGGGTTAAGCATCGACCTATGAACCAGGACGTCGTGAGGCATGAAAGAGGCAGCCAATCAAGGATTCTCTCTCATCACTGATCACTGATGTTTCTCCTCTCTCCACCCCCCTTCCTCTTTGAATAAATTAAAAAAAAAAAAAAAAGAAAGAAACCTTGCTGGAGGTGTCCCATTTCCCCCTTGGTACCCAGGTGACCTCAAAACGTCCTCTGGCCTCACATCTCACCAGCCCCTTCGCACACCTGCACTCCAGGCAAACTGGTCCAGGTTCTTGCCTCTGAGCCTTTGCTCATCCCTTCTCTTTGTCATCATTTCTAATATTTAATTTTTATTCATCATTCAAGGCACAGGCAACTATCACCTCCTCTAGGAAGTATTCCAAGATCTCCTCCTTGGGATTTGTGATGTGTTTTTAGTACTCTCCAGCCATGATTTCTATAAGTCACCCACCCCCAGGTCAGAAAACTGCTTTCTGACTCCCCAAGGGTCACTGGTTAAAAATGGGTATTTTTGGCCCTACCTGACATGCTCAGTGATTAGAGCATTGGCTCTCAGACCACCAGGTCACAGGCTCGATTCCTGGTCAAGAGCATATGACTCAGTTGCACGTTCCCTAGCTCAGGTCAGGGCACTTGTGGGAGGCAACCAGGCAATGTGTCTCTTGTCTCACATCAATGTTTCTCTCTCTCCCCATCCACTTCCCCTCTCTCCTACTCTCTCACAAAAACAATGAAAAAAATATCATTGGGAGTGTTTGTTTGCTTGTTGTTGTTTTTTTAAAGAGGATATTTCTGATCTTACCATTTGCAACAACATGGATATACCTACAGGGTATTATGCTAAGTGAAATAAGTCAAAGACAAATATCTTTATGATTTCTCTTAAATGTGGAATCTAAAAAACAACATAAAACAGAAATAAGCTCATAGAGAACAAACTGATGGTTGATAGATGGAAGGAGGGTTAGGGTCTGGGTGAAAAGGGTGAAGGGACTAAGAAGTACACATTGGTAGTTACAAAACAGTCAAGGGGATGTAAAGTACAGCATAGGGAATAAAGTCAGTAATATTGTGATAACTATGTACGGTGTTAGGTGGGTATTAGACTTATTGAGGGGATCATTTCATAAGTTATATGTCTAATAACTATGCCATATACCCAGAAACTAATATAAATCGATTGTAAACTGTAATTTAAATTTTTTAAAAATGTTTTAAATGGAAATTTCTAAATTCCGCTCAGTCCTGGTTAATAGGAGTCGTATGTTGGGTCCTCACATCTGGATTTTGAACAATGACTTCTGGGTGTGGGTGAGGCACCAAAAAAGAGACAAGCCCTATGTCAAATGAAAGGATTTATTCTGATCACTTGAGAATAAATTGGGTGTCTGCTTAACACACGATAAGCAGGTACGATGATAGAAAAAACTACCCTTAGGCCTTTGGGAGTTTCTGTTGTGTGAAGGAGACACTAATTGTGACCACACGTGAAGGGTGTGGGAGTCCGCGAAAGAATCACTCAGCATAAGGATGAGAAGCACGCCATCACATGTGCAAGGCGTTATGAGTAGTCCAGGCAGAGAGAAGAGCAAGTGTAAAACAAGAGCTACAAACAGACCTGAATCCTGGAGAATGGCAGAGACCTTACTGTGGGGAGAGTGGGATTGGAATGGTGCTGGGCAGAGGGGGCCAGCGGGCAGACCTACCTTGCTTTCCTCTTGCGGGGGAAATGACTCGAGGACCCTGCTCGG